AGGAATGGGGAGTACTTTGTAAATGTAGAATTTCAGTTTGGGGTGATGAAAAAGTTCCATCAATGAAAGGTGGTAGTGGCCACACAGCGTGACTGCCCTTGATGCCACTGGTCAAACATTCAAGAGTGGTTACTATAGTAAATGTTCTATTGTGTGTATTTTACCTTGACACAAAAAAAATATTTCAAAACCAGAAAAGACTATAATGCAGAAAAGGGCCCATCCATCCCCCACAAAGTTCTGACTCCATTACTTTTGTTCTTCCCTTCTTGGCTTCGTATTTAGGGTGTTGTTTGCCACTGAGGTACCAATTCATTGGAAATTATAATGCATCTGTGAAATAAAAATGATTATATGTTAAGGAATAATACTTATTGATAAATGTTTCATTGCCTCTTTGCTTCCTCAAAGGGAATAAATAAATATTTTAGACATAATCAAGTTTGTTTTCTCTATTTGGGCCAAACAGACAGGGATTGGTGAAATCCAGATCTTTAAACACAGCAAATGGGCCAGCCAGATAGCTCAGCAGACTAAAGTGCCTGCTTCGGCAGATGCAGGGACCAGAATTCGATCTGAGACAGCAGTTGAGACTGGGTATGGTGGCGTGTGCCTGTAATCCCAGCTCTTGGAAGGCTGAAAATAGGAGGATCACTATGAGTCCAAGCTGTGTAGTGAGACCCTGTAGGCCCTGTACTAAATACATAAAAAAATAAATAAAACCACAGCAAATGATTCCTCACATCCCTGAATTGTTATGCATGTAAGGTACATACTCTTGAAATCCCGGCTATCTGCTTTAATCAGGAAAATCAGTTTTGTGACACTTGCAATTTGAGTCCTGTGGGGTTAGGGAAGGGACCAGTGAGAGAGTATCACAGTGAGAGTCTGAGATGACACAAGGAGGACTGCCCACCCTTCCCAGGAATCAGTCTGCATTTTAATTCTTGTCTCCCAGCTCCCTGCCCTCCCTCACTCTGGGCTTGGTGGCACAGAGTGGGAATGGAGGCCACAGAAAGGCTTACACAGTAAAGACCCTGGCACTCTCAGTGATTTGCCAGGTGAACTGGGAAGGAGTTGGGTGGTGGCAGAACCACAGCTTTCATGGCATAAGACCCATGAAAGGCACCTTGAGTCCTCATGGTGACTGGATTTACCCCAACCAGTATGCCAAGCTCAAGTACGTCCAAGCACTTAGGGCTTCAGATGAGGCGGTGGCTTCAAGCCAGGCTGGCCCCCAGTCCTTGGAGCAGGGCCCCTCACTGGCACTGAACGTTGTGTTCTTTCTAGATGGTCTGAATGGGGTTTGCGTTCCCTGTCTTCACTCACCTGCTGTTTATAGACTGTCCCCTCAAAGTTACATGTGTTCAAAGGTGGGGCTTTTGTGAGGTGACTGTGTAGTGAGTGCACTACCCTGAACCGTGGATTGCGCTGTTGATGAGTTCATAGCTGAAGGTGCTTCTGGGAGATAGGACTAGCTTAAAACATACAGGTCACTGAGGGTGTAACCCGGATGAAGGAGTTCTTGACCCCAGCTCTTCCTTCCTTTCTTAACTTCCAAGGGCTAGGTAACATTTCTCTGTCATACTCTTCCACTACACCACTGAGGTGGCCAAGTATGGGCTGAGTCCTCTGAAACTATGAACCAAAATAAACCTCTCCTTTAAGTAGTAAGTGTCTGCTGTTTTGTCCCAGGGGTGGGAGAGTGACTCATACACCTGCCTTCCATCCAGAGCAAGTCAGCAGGTCAACTGAGGAGTCCACATGAGGCCCATCTCTGTGGGGACAGCTGAAACCTTTGCTGTTGGTGCCCACAAGCTTGGTGGCTTAACACAACAGAAACTGATTTTCTCCTAGTGCTGAAGGTCAGGGCTATGCTTTCTCAAAAGTTCTAGGTGACAGACAGTCTTTGCTGTTTTTCCAGCATCTGGCAGCTCCAGCCGTTCATACTGTCGGCCACTTTACTCCACTCTCTGCTGCCTCTGTGTTATGTGGCTGCCTTCTCTGTTTCTCTGTCTCAAGTCTTTGTCTCCTTTCTCTTTTGAGGACAGCCATCCTTGGACTTAGGGTCACACTAAGTCTACAATAATTCTTCTCTAACTTACTCACATATGTAAAAACTTTTTCCAAATAATGTCACTTGGGCTCCAGAGGTCAGGATGTGGGTGTGTGCTTGGAGGGTTACTACTCCACCCACTGCACTCACTCTAAGTAGTGTTGTGGTCCCTGAAAAACTGGAGTTCTGGGCTTTGTTTTGTTTGCAAGATGGCTTGGTTTGTGTCATCCCAAATCAAGGCATTGAGTGGCCTTCAAAGAAAGAAGAGACCAATGGAGTACAGCGAAGGACACACAGGAAGGGAAAAGTCCATCCAGGGGAGAGGCTGTCTATATCCTTTGACTTGAGCCTTTTAAAGAGTGGCTTGCTATCTCTACATTCTCCTCCGTGCTGGGCACAGGTATGAGCCAGTCATGCATGAGAAAGGGCCATGTCAGGCTTGAGGCACAGCAGGGACCCAAGTGGATTAGCAAGATGCTCAGGACCTGTAGGTGCAATCACTGCGCACGTAGCGCATGTTAGGGGCATCCATTTCATCCAGGGACCATGGGGAAGAAGGCCCCAGCCCTCACCTTGTCTGAGCTTTATGGCTTAACATCAGTGTTGCCCCTCCTTCATGTGGGTCTTTGATAGATGCTGAGTCCTCATCCTTTTCTGTAGGGCCCATTAGGATCTGGGCTCTAGGCGGATGGGCAGGAAGAAAGAGATTAACCGAAGAGTTGCAGGTGCAGGTCCCCACTGTGTGCTGGTATGGGGGGCTCTGCCTATCACAGCCTGGTTTTAAAGGCTCCCCCCAAGCTGACTTCCTGAAACAGATTCCACCACGGGGAGCTGAATGTCCTAGGCAAATCAAAGGTGCTTGAAAGAGTGAGGGAGACAGACACCCTCTAGCCCCAAGAGAGATGCTGTACAGTAACGAATGGGATCAGGGGCCAGAGAGCCAGGAAGCTGTACAACACAGAGCCTTTCTCTCCAAGGACCTAGTTAGGAGAGGAGAGGTAACCCTGGGGCTTCATTTCAAACATCATCTTGTCTGATGCCTGCTTCAGACCTCAGAGGTAATTGAGGACCCAGCTTTTCCCAGGTGTCACTGGGAGAAACAGGCAGGCTTTGAGACTCTGCAGCAAAGACTTCTGTCCTTATGTGGGTGGCATCCGCCTTACGTGTCTACAATGTGCTCAGCTGGAAGCACTTGGAACGTTGGTCCCAAACCTGGTGTGTGGTAACATAACATACAGTAAAGATTGTGGCTGCATTTCTGTGATGGTCCTAGCGTTCTGTGTCTCTGGAAGCTGGGAACAAGGGATGGCCTTCTTTTCCTGAAGATTCTCTGAGAGCCTGCGGGAGCTATAATGTAAGAGCTCCATGAATCAGCTTCGTGTTCCCCAGTGTTCATTAGAAGGTAGGGTGTATGATCGGAAAAGACATGGGAGATTTCTTCTGTACCTTGGGTTCCAGGGGACCCAAAGTTGACATAGCTGGTTGAAAAGGGAGCGTCTGTATTTTTCTCATTGACAAGAAACATTAGTTACCCTATCGCAAGAACAGCCATTCTGACTTCCGGGTTCCATTTGAGCTTTGTGTTTCACCAGGTTCCTGTCTTTGGAGAAGCACATGCTTTCATTAGCTGAGGCCGCGCTAACAAGTATATTATAAACATGTTTCTTATCATTCTGGAGGCTAGCGGTCCAAGATCAGGATGCCTGGTAAGGTCTCACGTCCTGGCGTACAGTTTGCCACGTTCTCCTGGTGACCTCACTTGGCAGGAAAGAGAGAAACGAAGCTCTCATGGCTGCTTGTAAAAGCACTGATCCTGTTCATGAGGACTCCGGCCTCACTGGGAAATCCCCTCTCACAGGCCTCAGTCTCCTAATACCATCACACTGGGAGGTAGGAGTTCAGTGTATGAGTGTGTGTGTGGGGGGGTGCATCACATGACTTCAGTCCACAGCAGAGAGCCTTGCTAGGCTGTGTCGTATGAGGCAGGTTCCCTCTCTGGGGACGCAGAGAGGAGATGTGGATGTGTACGGATGTGGTCAGACACAGGTAAGACGTATGGTCAGAGCTGGAACCCAAGGCGCCTCTGCTCATCAGAGTGTCTGGCAGTGCTCTTCAACACGGCAGCTGTGGTGTGGGTCCGTGTGGCACCACAGCGTTTACTGAGTGGGCTCGCAGATGGGGCCACATGCCGGAAACACCATCAGGGGCGGGAAGAGAAGAAAGGAAGGGGCAGGAGGGTGGAGAGAGGCACTCTGGATGCTGAGCCGCTGTTGCCTGCCAGAATTCTTCAGTGCAGCTTGCCTGGCAAAGCCGGACTCCAGCCGAGTAAATACAGTGGGTAGCTGACGGGCTGACAGCATGCATCAAACAGTCTTAAACTGCTCCAAATCCACCGCGCTTTTGAAGCGGCGGTAGAAAAAGGATGCCTGCGCAGAACAGAGGCCTGCAACTTTTAATAGTTTCTTCCAGGCCTCAGGATGTCCTGATGAGGTATTAGAGGAAGTAATTCAGGAAGAAAGGACAAATAACCGCCTCCATCTGGAGGCCGACCTGAGGGCTGGTCATTCCAACTCGCAGAAAGGACCAGCATTGCCCCGCAGTGATCCAAGAGCCTCCTGTTAACCCACCCGCCGCTTCTGCATGCAGAGCCGCCAGGCTCTGACCCCTGTAAATGACAGACAAGTAAATTTCTCATTTGCTTCAGGGCACATGTAAACCACACAGTGCCTGCTGCTTGTGGGTGAAAATCATTAACTTCTCCTCACTGTCGGGAAGGGTGCAGGGTCCAAATTAGAGCCTTCGCCTCAACCTCAAAGCCCTCCTGGAGATCTGGCCCTTTCCTTCTGGACCGGGAGCTGTCCTGACTGAGAGAGAACCAAACGAGTTTGTCAGAGCCAGACTCACCCCTCCTCTCTCTGTTTTTCTCTTTCTCCTTTTCCTTTAGGGTTTGGCTTTGTCACTTTTGAGAATGAAGATGTTGTGGAGAAAGTCTGTGAGATTCATTTCCATGAAATCAATAATAAAATGGTAAGTCTGGAGGGCCTGTGCCAAAGGGGGACCCCAGCCCGGCACACACACCCCATCTTGCGGCTGATCACACCAGGCAAGCCTATGGGCCTGGGCAGGGGTGGGCGTGAGCCCTGTTGTTTACAGCAGGGGTGGGCGTGCTCTTTCTGTAAAGAGCCGGCCAGTAGGTATTTTCAGCGCAGAGAGCCACTCAGTGGACTGCTGTCTCAACTTCTCGCCTTATGGCCTGAAGTGTCCACAGCCCGTGCATACAGAAGGAGCCGGGTGTGCTTCACTGAAGCTTTGTGGACACTAGAAGTTACATTTCCCAGCAGTTTCATGTCACGGATTTTTTTTGTCATGGTGGTGAGCGAGCCTGACCCCGGGCCCTGCACCTGTGAGGCAAGTGCTGTACCACTAAGCCACACCTCTAGACCACACAGCATTATTTTGTTGTTGTTGTTTTTAGCCATATAACAATGTAAAGACCTTTTTTTTTACCTCTTGGACCTTACACAGAAAGTCTGGGGTGGGGCCAATTGTGATGTGTGGGCTGTAGTTAGCTAACCCCCTGGATTTAGGGTATACTTTTGACTTTGGCTTTTAAAGGGGGGAATGCCCTACCTAGATAGGAAGTCTACCTATTTTTCTTTGAGCCCTGCTGTGTAATGAACACACGTACCCCTGGCCATGCAGTCAGTTAGGTATTTTCTACCCTCATGATCAGCTGCTTGCTTCCATCTCTTTGGCTTTTTGAAGCTCCACTAGTTGCCACTGGGTGGGGGGTGGGGGTGCTGGATTTTTGGAATCCTGGCGCACTAGGGAGGCTACCTGGAGAAGTGGCCACCAGAGGGCGCCGTGCTGTGTGCAGTCGGCATCTATGTGCTGGCGGGTCATCTGACACTCCTTTCTTTAAGTTGAATAGGAGGTGAGAAATCCCTTCTTTGTTGGCGCCAAAGAAATGGAACTCAGCAGGTGTTTCTGAAGCCATCAACAAGTCCTCTGGAGCACAAACATTTTGGTTGGCCCCCAAAGTCATCAGCCCCAAGGGAAGAGAGAGGGCAAATCTGTGTTTCATGCAACTGTCACTTTGATATTTTCTTTCTTTTGTCAAAACATTCCTTGTTTCTGAAACATGTTTTCAGATATGCATTCTATATTGGTCTGATATGTGTTCACCAACTTTAAATTCAATAATAGAGCTTTTAGTGTGGATAAGATCAAAGCAATCTGCTTAGCATGTGGTGCTTCAGGCCTGATTCAATATTTGACTTGCTAATTTTTTCCCAGGGCACTAAAATAATATTGTTCATATTGTTCCTCGCCATCATATGCATCAGAAATGAAAATACTGTTGCTTCGCATCCTGGTTGGTGGAGGCATCAACACAGGGACTAGAATGGTTCAGGGGAGAACAGTGTACAGGAATAAGTTTCCAACATAGGATCTGTCTGACCCCCCAAATGACACTGCCTTCTAGTTGCTGCTTCATCTTGGTAGGTCACTGCTTGCTATTTTTAAAACTGGAGAGGCAGAGGACTTAAACCTCAGTGCAGGGCCTGCCTGCCCTGTTTCTCCTAGACAAGATAGGCTGTGCTCAAGGCTGCCAGGCAGTGGGGAACAGAAGTGGCAGCAGAGACCGACCTCAGGCGGCTGCCCTTCTGTCCTGCCAGGACTTAATGCTCCCCCCGGAAAGGCCCAGCACGGGCAAGAGACAGCTTCATGTGCCCCCTCAAATGTACATGTGCAATCTGTCACTCCCAGTGGGCTTGGAAATGAGCCTGAGACACGAGCGGTAGGGAAGGACTTTATCCTCCTCACTCTTCTAGTGGGGAAACTGAGGCCCGGAATCTGCCCCAGGGCTACCCATATAGCAAAGGAGCATGGCTCTTGAGCTTCCTAGCTGCTAGGTGAACTGTACAGTCAGGTGCCTAAGTGTGCGTGAAAGGATAAACCCCAGACGCAAGAGGTAGAGGTTCAGCCCCAGAAGGGGAGCAAAAGAGCTGGCTTGAGGCTTCAAGCCACCGAGGTTTGCAGCTGCTCTGCCCGTGTTGCATATTTATCACTGCCAGCCCTTCTCCCCGGTGGAGGGTGCCTGTGTCAGGTACAGGAACTGGTGACTCTAGTGTTTCTGCTTTCTTTTGAATCTGGGGCTAGTACTTATTCTTTAAGAGGATCAGCAAAAACAGTAGACAAAGAAAAGGAAGTGGGGCACTGTGGTTAGGGTCCCAAGGACTGATCCAGCTTCCCAGCCCCGCCCCAACAATCTTGTGCTCCCAAAGGAGGAATTCACACATCCTGAAAGGGGACCTGGAGTGAGTCACTGCATGTCACTGAGCTCCAGGAAACAGGGCCAGGAAGGGTGCACACCGCTGGGGTGTTGGAGGTTGGGTGCGATGCCCTGAATGAGGCTTACACAGTGGCCAACCTGGGGCACAGGAGAAGGTTGGCTCTTGCTGTGGTCCCTACCAGTGTCCTTGAAGGATCTTCCTCCGTGCACCAAGGAGGGGTGGAATTTCAAGAGAATTGGTAGAGGAGCCCACATCCTGCATTGCTACAGATTGTCTTCTGAGACCCAAAGAAACGAAATGCATTTACATCATGCTCCAGGAGTGAGGTAGCCAGGGAGAACTGAGAATCCTGCAGCCACCAAGCAAGGCTCAGGGCAGCTACTGAACTGTACAAAGGAGTGTGCGCGCCATGGATGACCCCCCCCTTAGCATGCCGGCAGAGGCCATTTTCTCACATTCATAGTTAATACCAGTCTCACACTGCAGATGGGTCTCGAGAAAGGACTCGAATACAGGTCTTCTGAGTCAGTCACACATGCCTGGGACTTTGTATGAATAGTTGTGAAATGAATAAAGGGTTCACTAGGAAGCTACATGATTTCAGTGGGGAGCTACGTGAGCACATCATAGCTCCCAGAGTTGCTTCCCATCTAACTCAGTATTAGATCTCCTGGACCCCTTTATGGTGAAGGCCTCTCCCCACTGTGCAGACAGCCAGAACAGGCCTGAGTGCTTCTGCCTTCTGCAGAGGCCCTGCAGAGCAGTCTCGGGTCACAGAAGTCCCCACCTCTCACCTGTGCAAGGCCCTATCTTACACAGGTCATGGCCAAGGTAGCACAGGGGGTTGGCCCACAAGACCCCACACTGAACACTAACATCCTGAGGTACAAATGCCATACTGTGCTTAGCACTTGGTTTATCGAAAGTAATTCTCACATTCACTCTGGGATAGGCGCTTATCATTGTCCCTGTTTTACCATGGGAGAGACGAGGCAAAGGCAGAGTGATGAAGCACTTTGCTAGTTGCACAGCCAGCAAGTGGCAACCTCAGAATTTGAGTCCATAAAACTGTGCTCCACAGCTCATGTTTGTGCCCACAAGGCTCTATACTTCCTCTCTGGGCCAAAAGGGACTTTAGTTCGCTGGACTACCCGTGTCCTGTAACTACTGAATGTCCTTTCCCCCGCAGCTATCTTGTGGTCTGCTGTGGCTCCTTGGTCTCCTAGGAGAAGGGTAGAAGGAGGAGACAGAACACAGGAGGCCACATTGGCCTGGCTAGGGAGAAGGGCCAAGTTTGGGTTTAGGATCCAGCCAGCTGCAGATTGCCTGCCTCTTCCTGCTCTGTCCCAAAGGCAGATGAGCAAGGGGACTGGCTGGGGTGTTGGTTGCCACCAGAGCTCAGGGACCAACCTGGCAGAACTGAGGCTCAGCCCCAGCCAGAGTGAAATGTAAATGTGGCTCTTTATCAGTAAATACACAAATGCACACATGCAGCTGCCTCGTGACCCTCCAGAGGGGCTCCTCCTGGCCACTGTGCGAGCCCCAGCATGGGCGCAGCTAATGACGCCTCCCGCTGCAGCCCCCTGATTGAAGCAGCCCCCGAGCAGCAGGAGCACTTGCTTGATTAGTCGCCAGAGCCCAGTCTCCAGGCAGCCCCCCGATGTGCCAGGCGGCTGAAGGGAGGAAAGTGGGACTTCCCAAAGCACCAGCCCCAGGTTTCCTCAGAGACCTGGCCTGGCCCCACTTCAGAAAGATGTTGGGAAGGTGCTGCTGCCCTCCTCGTGCAAAAATGTGGGGCACAGTCAGAAGCATCCTTGTTCAACAGAAAAGAATGGGTGTGGTGGAGGCTCCGCAAGCAGCCACAGCCCCTGCCTCGCATCCTGAGGAGGGGTCCCAGTCCCGTTTCACAGAGTGACCAGTAGAGCTGGTCTTTGGACCTGTGCCGTGGTGGCTCCAGACCTTTCATTTGTCCCACCATTCCTTGCTGCCCATAGAGGCAGACCTAATGTTTGGAGAATCTGGATTTCTAAAATTCTTATTGCTTTATACAAGGACTACTATGGGATTCCTCACTTGGAGCAAACAGAGGCTCGGACCCTGTGGTCAGTGTGTAGATGCAGCCCAGCAGCCCCTGGGAGCTGGTCAGGGCAGCCCCAGAACCTGTGTTGGGAGCTGCGTGCTGATGAACCTCATGATTTGTGTGCATATTAAAGTCAGGGAAGGGCTAGCCAAATAGCTCAGCAGATTAAAGCGCCTGCAAGTAGGAGCAGGGGCCAGGGGTTTAATCCCCGGGCCTGCTGTGCTGGCTCCGCCCCCAGGGCACACTGAGAGGGCAGTTGAGACTGGGCTTGATGGTGCACGCCTGTAATCCCAGCTCTTGGGAGGCTGTAAACAGACGAATCACTACAAGTCCAATCTAGTAGTGAGACCCTGAACACCCTGCAGACCCTTCCCTAATAAACAAGGAAAAAAAAAAAAAGCCTGGGAAGCATCAGGAGAGGATCGATGCTAATGATGGATAACATGGGAGTGGTAGGCCACAAATGGTCCCCCCAGCATCAGAGGGAAGGCACCTGAGGGACTGCAGTGTGGAGCTGGGCTTGGGCTGGACCCCCGGGTCAGTTTCGGGCTCTCACAATTATTCTTCCCTTCCCCTGTGGTCAGGGAGAAACCAGCTGTCCCTGAGAGGGTCCCCGTGCCCAGGCTCCTCTACAGGCCGCATGCCCTTCC